ACACAGAGTCAGCTGTGGATTCAGGTGACTCTCCAGAGCCACTGCCTGTCCTTGACAAGACAGAGACTCAAAGATCCAGGCATCATCTGGAACACAAAACCTCAAAAGACATGGCAGTTAGGGAAGAGAGCTGGAGATTTTCACACCTGCGATTAAATGATCTGGCTGGGAAATTACACATGTTGCTTCCACCCATGATGCATTGGCTGGAATTGGTCATGTCGACCCACCTAACTACACGGAGAGAAATATTCATCTGTGTGCTCTGAAAGAAAAGAAAGCTGAATGTGGGTGAACATCAGGCATCCCTATATAAACAAGTAATATTTAATTTGCATTTTATATCACAATTTAGAAAAATTGATAGAAATTGCTTTCTTCCCCAACTAAAATGTTCTTCCTAGAAATATACAATATTCTTTATAATTTCTTCCTGATGCTTTCATTCAGCATCTTAGAGTAGCATTTGCCAGCAAAGATCTGAGTTTCCAGGGTTTTAGAATATCCTACTCATCTTCTTAATTGATGGGGCCTGAAGACATTGGTAAAAATTTGTCACGTTAAACATGAAAGGGAAAAGAGAGAACAGTGACTGCCACTGTTAATGTATTTGGCTCTTGCAAAAATGTAACATAGCTGTATTAGTCCATTTTCACACTGCTATAAAGAACTGAGACTGGGTTATTTAAAAAGAAAAGAGGTTTAGTTGACTCACAGTTCCACACGACTGGGGAAGCCTCAGGAAACTTACAGTCATGGTGGAAGATGAAGGAGAAAGAAAGCACATCTTACATGATGGCAGGAGAGAAAGCATGGGCAAAGGGAGAAGTACCACCCTTTAAAACCACCAGATCTTGTGAAATCTTGTGAGTGAATGGTCTCACTCACCATTACGAGAACAGCAAGGGGGAAACTCGCCCTGTGATCCAATCACTTCCCACCCGGGTCCTGCTTCAACACATGGGGATAACAATTCAAGATGAGATTTGGATGGGGACACAGAGCCAAACCGTATCAATAGCCCATGTTCCTATTATCACCAGAATTATCTAGAGACAAGGAGAAGTAAAACACAAGATTACAGGATGAGTCACCCATCAAACATCCATACATATTCTTGGTATGCAGGCTAACTAAGAGCTAAAGGTATTTTCCTATTTTTTTTTTTCTCATTTTCAAGCAGGATTTTTTTTATTTTTTATTTTTTTTTTCTTTTTTATTTTTTATTATTATATTTTTAGTTCTAGGGTACATGTGCACAACGTGCAGGTTTGTTACATATGTATACCTGTGCCATGTTGGTGTGCTGCACCCATCAACTCGTCAGCACCCATCAACTCATCGTTTACATCAGGTATAACTCCCAATGCCATCCCTCTCCCCTCCCCACTCCCCATAATAGGCCCCGGTGTGTGATGTTCCCCTTCCCGAGTCCAAGTGATCTCATTGCTCATTTCCCACCTATGAGTGAGAGCATGCGGTGTTTGGTTTTCTGTTCTTGTGATAGTTTGCTGAGAATGATGGTTTCCAGCTGCATCCATGTCCCTACAAAGGACACAAACTCATCCTTTTTATGGCTGCATAGTATTCCATGGTGTATATGTGCCACATTTTCTTAATCCAGTCTGTCACTGATGGACATTTGGGTTGATTCCAAGTCTTGGCTATTGTGAATAGTGCCGCAATGAACATACGTGTGCATGTGTCTTTATAGCAGCATGATTTATAATCCTTTGGGTATATACCCAGTAATGGGATGGCTGGGTCATATGGTACTTCTAGTTCTAGATCCTTGAGGAATCGCCATACTGTTTTCCATAATGGCCCACCAACAGTGTAAAAGTGTTCCTATTTCTCCACATCCTCTCCAACACCTGTTGTTTCCTGACTTTTTAATGATTGCCATTGTAACTGGTGTGAGATGGTATCTCATTGTGGTTTTGATTTGCATTTCTCTGATGGCTAGTGATGACGAGCATTTTTTCATGTGTCTGTTGGCTGTATGCATGTCTTCTTTTGAGAAATATCTGTTCATATCCTTTGCCCACTTTTTGATGGGGTTGTTTGTTTTTTTCTTGTAAATTTGTTTGAGTTCTTTGTAGGTTCTGGATATCAGCCCTTTGTCAGATGAGTAGATTGCAAAAATTTTCTCCCATTCTGTAGGTTGCCTATTCACTCTGGCTAAAGGTATTTTCTTGGTCAACTTAGTGAAGTAAGTGGTCAGTTAAGCAAAGTAATTAGATTTCTATTCAGAAGAATTTTGATTTCCAAACAGGAACATCATATACAGAGTTCGTCAAGCTTATTTGATCTTGGAAAAGTCTTAATATCTTGAGAAACTCTAATGTTTGGCACAACACAATTCAGGAAACCTTGCCCTGGAGAGATTAAATTGAGATGTCACTTCTCATACATAGTCTCTCCCTCACACCTATTCAATGCCATCATGGGCTAAGAGCTCAAATATCTGGCTGGTATCATGAAGTTACATCTCCCTACCTGGGGCCAAGTTGTTTTCCTGGATATCAACCTTTCCTTTCCCCTTAGTTCCCAGCTGATTGGTCCAGCCTGGATCATCTCCATCTCTGCATAGGAGCCACTGAGCTGGCTTGTTTTGCTCCATGTAGTCAAATACTCATTCAGAAGGAGCTCAGAAGTATTCTAGACAGTGCTGGTCTCCAAGCCAAACCACTTCTAAGCCAAAGGCAATCTCCTTATAGCAAAGCCCTTAAAGCTATTCCTGGATAAATGTTCCAAAATCATTTCACACTGGGCTGAAGGTTAAAAATAGAATGTGCCCATGGATAAATAGGCCATTTATGAGACTAATTAACGAATACATTCCAAACCTCAGAGCTATGCTCCAAAGGTAACTCACAACTCCAATATCCCACCCCAACCTTCTTTGCCAGCCAATTATATGTTTCCAGTGGCAACAACCTGACAAGCCTGGAGCAGTGCTGACAAGAGAGATTATCAGAGAAGTTCCTCTAACAGAGAATGTGTTTCCATCTATTAAATGAGTTTGGCTTATCAGAACCCAAAGCTTATCAATAGAGCTTACAATCTCTATTAACTGCCACCATAGACCTAACACTACTTGCCTTCAAAGCACCATTGTTGGCCAGCGCAGTCGCTCACGCCTGTAATCCCAGCACTTTGGGAGGCTGAGGCAGGTGGATCATTGGAGGTCAGGTGTTTGAGACCAGCCTGGCCAACATGGCAAAACCCCATCTCTACCAAAAATACAAAAAAAAAAAAAAATTAGCCAGTTATGGTGGCGGGTGCCTGTAGTCCCAGTTACTTGGGAAGCTGAAGTACAAGAACTGCTTGAAACCAGGAGCTGGAGGCTGCAGTGAACTGAGATTGCACCACTGCACTCCAGACTGGATGACAGAGCAAGACTCTGTCTCAAAAAAACAAAAAAAAACAAAAACAAAAAATCACCACCACAACAACAAAAGCCCAAAACACCATTGTTTAATAAACAAATTTCTTGGGACACAATTTTTTTTTTAGAAGGAGTCTCCCTCTGTCGCCCAGGCTGGAGTGCAGTGGCATGATCTCCACTCACTGTAACCTCCGCCTCCTGAGTTCAAGTAATTCTCCTGCCTCAGCCTCCAGAGTAGCTGGGATTACAGGCGTGTGCCACCACACCTGGCTAATTTTTGTATTTTTAGTAGAGATGGGTTTCACCATGTTGGTCAGGCTGGTCTCAAACTCCTGACCTTGTGATCTGCCCGCCTCAGTCTCCCAAAGTGCTGAGATTACAGGCATGAGCCACCATGCCTGGCCGGGACACAATATTTTTAATTTTTGTTTTCGTTTTTGTTTTTCTTTGAGACAAGGTCTCATTCTGTTGCCCAGGCTGGAGTGCAGTGGTGCAATCATAGTTCACTGCAACCTCCAACTTCACTCAAGCAGTCCTCTGGCCATGGCCTCCCAAAATGCTGAGATTATAGGTGTGAGCCACTATACCTGGCCTATATTTTACAATTTGAATATAGACTTTCCAGAAATATTTCACTGTGAAAGAGCATGACTATTAAGGGCCCACAATTGCTCCAGAGTGGAAATGCAATTCAAATTCTTAAGCTATAAATATTAGAGTAAGTCTTTCATCTGGTATGCTTATACTGACATTCACAAGGAAAAGCAGAAATACAATATTTGGGTTATAATTTTGTCTAAGTTGGCTGCACAGCTGAAGACTGGCAATGTAGACCAATGTCCTCATCACTAACCTGGGAAAATGACAAGCCTCTGTATCTCCATCTTCTAATCCACAAAACAGACAGCATCACAAGCACTCCAACCACCTTACAGGTTCTACACAGAAGAATCATACACAGGTTGGTCAAGTTTATCCATGATCCCCCAGCCCCCAGGAGTTGTCCCAAATGCAAAGTTTTTATTTGTTTGAAAGCTTTGCTAGTGAGGCCAGGTACAGTGGCTCATGCCTGTAATCTCAGCACTTTGGGAGGCTGAGTCGGGCAGATCACTTGAGGCCAGAAGTTGGAGACCAGCCTGGCCAACATAGCAAAACCCTGTCTGCTAAAAATACAAAAAAATTAGCCTGTCATGGGGGTGCATGCCAGTAATCCCAGCTACTCAGGAGGCTGAGGCATGAGAATTACTTGAACCTGGGAGGCAGAAGCTACAGTGAGCCAAGATCGCGCCACTCACTGCACTCCAGGCTGGGAAACAGTAAGACTCTATGAAAAAGAAGAAGAAGAAGAAGGAGAAGGAGAAGAAGCAGCTTTGCTAATGAAGGAGAATAGTAAATGTTAAAATGGAAGAAAGTTACATAAAGAGGAAACATCATATTTCTTTTTTCCCTATCTTACCCAGAAGAATAAAATATTTAACTACTAATTTAACACCGAGACTGAGATACGTGGCTCTGAGAAGACTGCAGGCGCATGCAAAGTCTCATTTGTTAATGAAACAGCATCTAGCACAGGGTGCTGCCACAGAATTAAAGTTCCAGGGATGCTTACCTTCTGGCTGGTGTCTGAGATGCAGAAAAGAATATCTCCAAAAAGATAAAAAAGAGAGATAAAAATAAAGTCACCATTACAAGAGAGCTGAACAAATATCCTAGTCAGGTACCTGCCTCTGGCTCTGAATAAAAGAATGCAATATATATCCCAGCAGTAGAAACAACTCCACAGTGCTTGCTCAGGCCCTCTCTCCCATCGCAAGTGATTATGACTACCCTCCACTTCACAGCTGCCCCAGTTCCACCCACTACACTCTCACTCGCACTCATACTCACATTTTCTATTCCGAAAGACCGGAGCGGGGCAGTCATTAGACCAAGCAACATTCAGAAATAGCTTCAAAATCAAGTTTAATATCTTTTTCCTTGGATCCCCCTGGCACAGCTACATAAAATACCTTATATGGATATGGAGGTGCCTGGAGAAAGCAGAACTTTCATATTTGGGTGATGATAGGTGCAGTATTAAATTTAAAAAAAACAACAATCCAGATGGTTCAGCTAACAGAGTCACAGCAGTAAGCCCATATTATGCCAGAGGGGACTAAGATTACTAAGAGAGAAGTAAAACGCCTCAGGATTAAGCAAAGCTCTAGCTGTTTTGTTCTACTAGGAAAATCTCAATGGACCTGCATGTTTTAACTTCAAAAATTACCCAACAAAAACAAGTAAGGATGAAGGGAGAGACAGAGTGGGGAGAGAGGGAGAGAGACAGAGAATTTGGTCACAGAAAGAGTTGGAAAAATAGTTGAAGATAGTTGCACAGAATTAGAGGCACCGCATCCATTTTTCTACCTACTAATGAAGTGCTGCTATTACCCATGTATCTTCAGCAATGCCAGAGAATTGGCCAATATTTTGAATAATCACAAAAGGGTGTCCCATCTTTCTCTCTATCATGGTGGAAATTAGAAAGTTTATGTGATGTTCTAAATCATCACTTAATTTTTAATCAAGGTATGTTTACAATATGAAGTTTATTCATAAGCAGTATAAATGGGGTTTGAGTCTCACAAAGAAAATGGCAATTAATCATTAAGTCTCTTTTGCTTACATAGGGGTGAACTAAGAGTGATATTTGCATTTTGCATGCTACCTTCACACCTCACTTTGTTATTTTTCCTGTTCTCATTTTGTAAGCCCTGATTCCAATTGCTTTTTCTTTTTTTCCACATTTTTTACAAAAAGTAGAGAGAGGATCTCGCTATGGTATCCAGGCTGGTTTCGGACTCCTGGGCTCAAGCAATCCATCCACCTCAGCCTCCCAAAGTGCTAGGATTACAGGCATGAGCCACCAGGCCTCTAATTGCTTTTTCTAATATTATATATTGTGTTTAATTTTGTTCACTGCATTTAAAATAATTTTTAAAGGCTTAAACCATATGGCTTATATTTAGCTGTGGCTTAAAACATATTGCTAAATCCCTTTTGGTTAATGTTTGTTACATTCCAGAATCATACAATGCATGTCCATTTGTGATACAGATAAAATCAACTGCCAGGGGAAGTTAAACTATAATAGTGGTTCTCAAAGTGTGGCCCCAAACTAGCAGCTCAGCCTCACTTGAAGATTTATTACAAATGCAAATTCTCAGGTCCCACCCCAGACCTACTGCTTCAGATTTTTATCTCTGCGTAACAGGTTACCACGAAACACACACATGCATTATCTCACAGTTTCCATGGATCAGGAGTCAGGACAGTTACTGGATCCTTTACCTGGGATGTCCTCAGGCTGAAATCAAGGTGGGGCTGCAATCTCCCCAAGGCTTCAGGTTCCACGTTCCCTGGTCATGGGAAAAACTTAGCTCCTTGTGGTTACAGGACTGAGGTCCTCATTTTCTTGCTGGCTGGCAGCCAGGACCTATTCTTAATTCCTAAAGGCCATGTGCCTCTCCCTGTCACGTGGTCTTCTTCATAACCTGGCAATTTGCTCCTTCAAGGCCAGCAGGAGGTTTTTCCTGCTCTGAATCTCTCCACTCTGCTAAGATGGAGCCATAATGTAATGTAACATCACTTAACGTAATGCTGATGCTCTTATCATCTTTGTCATATAACCTAATCAAGAAAGTGACGTCCCATCCCATTCCCAGGCCCTGCCCACCCTCAAGAAAGGAGACCACCCTGGGTGTGTACACCAGGGGGTAGGAATCATGGGGGCCATCTCAGAACTCTACCTGCCACACCTACCAAATTAGAGTAACCAATCAGAGATCCCAGATGATTTCCCCATTCCTCCCAACCCTTCCGCAGAGACTGAGAAACTGAGGGAGAAGGAATCATTTAAAGATTTGGCCAAATGAATGCTTACTTAGTGCTTCCAACGAAACTTCTCCCCCCAAAAATATTCAGCAACCTTGAATTTATGGGTACATCCTGCTCTGTGTGGGAATTCAGACCTGCCACCCTGACAGCTGAAAGACCAGATCAGTCAAGGAGTTAATTATACAGATCATTTTCCTGGCTCCCATGGGCATAAAGGTTATAGATGGCTGCATATTTATGCAGCCGCTGTTAAAAATTCAACCGCAGCATTTATTTCAATGAACTCCTTTGACTACATGTTCAACAGATGCACTAAGGGACTACATAAAACATTATCTCTATTAGTTCAAATTTTCTGACTCCTTAAAAGCTTCTGGTAACTGAAGGAAAAATGCATCTGTAATATGTCCCTTGCCATTACAAATACATTCATTAAAATACAAACAGCTTGACAATACTAAGTGAGCATTAAGCATGTGTGTGCATGTGCAAGCCTGCTCTCACACACACACATACGCGCGTGCACACGCACACACACACACAGACAACAGCTTGAATGTGGTCATTTTTAAATAGCACATTATGTTTAAGACTTTATAGTTATTAACAGAACTAGAGAATACATCTATCAAACTATCAAAATGCCATTTTAAATTGTGGTGATCCCTTGAACGTCTTTGATGTTTTCTAAGAACCTTTAATCCCACGTGCATGGTGCCACCTGTGCTGTTCCCTGAGAACAGTAACTGCTTCCCCTCTACTGGACTCTGTGTGGATGGAAGTGAGGCGTGAGTTCCTGGGAGTTCTTGGGATGACCCTGTCCAATTTCCAGCCCGGGATCTCCTCCCAGACAGTGGGAGTCTACAGAACAATATTCATTCATATGGGTTGGTGCTACTCGAAATCTTTCCCAAAATCTACTCTGGGAGAAATGCCCGCAAAGATCAAGGCCCTTGTCAGAGAGGTTACTGACACAGAGGAAGCTGCTTTTGAAAGGAGAATAAAAGACATTCCTTTCAACACTGTCTGCAGCAGCTTTGCCAAGACACCACACAAAGTCCAGATACCTCACCTCTTCCGGAGTGCCTATGCTACCACGCCCTGGCTATTTAACCCAATAGACTTAGAGAGGGCAGCTGATCACAACCACTTAGGAATGACATGCACAGAGTGCGTTTCTGGCCCTGCTGCCCTAGTGTGATGCTGTCTCTTTGTAACCATCAAATAGTAAGTTGCCTCAAAGGGAACCATTGTGCAAAAGTGTCAAAGGACTGGCTGCTAAAATAATAACCTGGCAGACACGACCACCATGAGGGAAATGGCTTTGCCTACGGTCTGGGGCAGTTAGGAAAGGATTCCTCTGTGGGCTCAGATCCCTCTAGCACTGAGAATTACTGTTTGTCCTGGAAAATTCACCATGAGAGAAGACCTGCAAGCTCCTCTCTTTGGGCCTGGAGGGCCACTGGCACTCAGTTGAAAAATTGGACACCCTATTGTGGGGAGCAGAATGACTGGACAACATCAGCCCAGTTCTAATGAGTAGGAGTACACATTCCACATGGTGAATGGAAAGTCCCCTGTCTATTAGAAAGGCTGGATCTGAGGACAGGAAGTACGGGACTGTCAATACAGGAGAGTGACCCCTCTTCCCCAGTGCTGACTAAGGTGGGAGCAACACCTCCCTTACATTACATTCACTTTGCTTCTGAGAAACTGACACCCAAACCGTTTACACCACAGCACATCAGCAGCGACACCAAGACTCACATTTGGTCTCCTAATACCATGTTCATTTTTCCATGTGATTTTCCTATCTTAAACCTATGTATACTTCAGTCTAGATGAGCCCATGTTTATAGAATCCTTTTGAGGGCTTGAATAAATGAAAACCTAGAAATGGGGACTATATTTTCCTGTAGAATCACCGGCTATCTGTGGGAAGAAGATATATTCTTTAACACTTTTTTTTTCTCAGACAGGGTCTTACTTTGTCACTTAGGCCAGAGTGCAGTGACATGATTATAGCTCGCTGCAGCCTCAAACTCCCGAACTCAAGCGATTCTCCTGCCTCAACCTCCTGAGTAGCTAGGACTATAGGTACATGCCACCGTGTCCAGATAATGCCACCATGTCCAGATAATTTTTGTATATTTTTTCTTTCAAGAGACAGAGTCTCAATACATTATTCCCGGCATCAAGTGATCCTCCCACCTCAGCCTCCCAAAGTGCTGAGATTACAGGCATGAACCATTACACCCAGCCTCATCACCACATTTCCAACCTTAGGATTAACTATTGAAAAACTAATAATTACCCCTTCTTTGATCTTACTCTTCTTACAGGCTGAATGAATTCCATTTAGCAGCAAAATGTCTTAAACAATGTTTCACACAAGAATGTTGAAATAAACGGAACAAACACAGAAGGCCTAGGAGGAAAGCCTCTCCCTGTTGGCCAAGGAATGACCTGATCTCCAGGTTATGTGAAGCAAAATGCTTAGAACTAAGCCAGAGACATTGGGACACTTAGCCATTCCCACTGCCTTCTTCTCTCCCTTGTCTCATGGAGGTCCTTGAAATAAGGAGGTAATGGAGTGAGGACAGAAGAGATAACTTGCTTCATTCTAAGCCCACAGTGCAATTCCTGGTGCCACCGTACTTGGAATACTGCACTCAGGAGTTTCCATGACCAACCTCCCTAAGACAGCAGAAAAATTCCATAAACAGTGAACGGCAGCAACATGTTGCTCTATGTGGATGCCTGGGTAAGACTGGGTTAGACTGGCTGGTGGACTGCTGATATAGGTGATTACTTGGCCCAAACCTTGTATCAAAAATGGCCCTTAGTGATGCATATGGCAAGAGATTTGTGTAAATTGAGCAAGATACTTAGCTATTGGTCTGCTTTTTTAGTAGACTTGACTTTCAGAAAAGAAAGAGCTGATGGTAGAAATTTCAGGCATTTTTAACATCTTTTCTTTATCAATCTACCTTCAAAAGCCACTTTCCATAGAACCTCTCTCTCAATGTCCCAGTAACTCTGCCCAAGGAAGCAGCCTCCGCTGTTCCTGACTCCTTGCAAGAGCTGTTGCCATTCTTTAATTTGGCAGCCTCTGTTTCTCAGGCTCCCGGGTTTTTACGTTTTCTTGCAGTGGGGCTTTTTACTTCACTTCTTGCTCTTTCTGCTGCTATCCCCTTAGAACCGGTGGAAGGATTTTATTTTTATTGTTATATCTATGGTCTCCATTCTCAGATTTTATTCTCCTGGTAACAGCCTGAGAGAAAAACACTTATGAGCACATTGGAAATGTCTAGGAAAGGGGAAGTGCATTAAATAATAAACCCCAAACTGGTGGGAAGGATTTTGCACTGTCTACTCCTGAGGCAAGGAATTCCGGGAGATGTTTTCTCGTTTGGCTACCTTTGTCCAATCTCCATTCCTTGATACCTACAAAGGTGAGAGCAAGATTAAACGCATTCCAAAAAGCAATTTCATGTGAGATTTGTTTTCACTTTTCTTTAGAAAAACCATGGGGTCTTTTGTTCACTTGAGACCTCAGTAAGGTTACTGTGTGAGCCATACCTTTAGGGAGTGTCAGCTTTCCAGGGAGGGAACCTAGACAATGTGACAGGGGCAATCCTAGCATCTGCTCGTAATAGGGCATAGGAAGGCAAATGCTGGTCCTTCCTTCCTGTAACACAGCCATTAAGCCAGGAGCATCGCCCTTTCCCGGCCCGCAGGTAAGAGGACCAAATACGGCAACCGTTTCCAAGTTCAGTCCTTTAGCGCCACCTGGTGCTAACTACTCTAATGACGCTTTTATCCAATAATTACCTTTGTACATTTCCTTTCAAAAGTTCTGGCAGGAGGCGGTGGCTCACGCCTGTTATACCAGCACTTTGTGACAGGTCAGGAGTTCGAGACCAGCTTGACCAACATGGTGA